GCCACTGGAGCTACTACAACCTTTTCATGTATATGCTCGTTTCATATCATATCTCTAAGAGTAAAGCCACACATCCACCCGAGCATCCTCATTTCTGCAACACTTAACTTAATATTATGCTTCTCTTTTAATAGCCAACATTCTGCGACAACATTGAAAAGGTTAGAGTATAAAAAATATAGGTTGAATCATATCTTTCCTTCGCCTAAAAGTTGTAGTAATCTTCCATCACCTTAGCTCCAAAGCTTTTGGTCTTCCTTCATCTTCATTTGCTTGATCCCCAATCAAATAAATGATTCCCTAGCTTTAGGCCTCTATGCCTCAGCTCTTCTTATTGGTCCCAAATCAAATAGGAGTCTCTCTTTCTTTTGGCCTCAAAGAAAAAAGCCTATTTGCTTGGCCCAATCAAGTAGATGATCTCTCCGCCTAGACCCAAAAAATAATTGATATTCCCCTTTCATGATATTTAAAACACAAACTTCTAGATGTCCTTAGGAGTCTATTCCTCCTGAAATTCATCTTTTCCAATTATATAAATTTCATTAATTCCTAATATTTTACGCTCTATGTTTCTTTGATTGATTTTTATATGGATGTGATTGATTGTTTATCTCATGTGCACTCTAGAAATATCTTCTTCTTTTTTCTTAGATTCCTTCACTTGTTTTGTGTGGGAGTGATCTAGACATGTTTTCTGTAGTAGGCTCTTAGGAAAAAGATAAAATTTTCCACCAATTAAATTAAAACAACAACAACAACAATATCAAGCTTTTATCTCACTCTGTGGGGTCGGTTATATGAATCTTTTTTCTCCATTGTGTCATATTAATGATCAAATTCTCATTTAAATCTAATAAAGAAAGATCATTTCTAATATTTTCTAAACAAGTATTTTTTAGGTCTATCTCTACCTTTCTTAACCTAAGTCAAATCTAATACATCTACTCTCCTAATGGGATCATTTGAAGGCCTCCATTTTATATGAACAAATCATCTAAGGCGACTTTCTCTAATCTTATCTTTCATTGGAGCGACTCCAACATTTTCACATCTATTCTCATTTTGCATCCTATCTCTAAGAGTAAAGCCAATCATCCATCTGAGAATCCTCATATCTATAACACTTGACTTAATATTATGCTTCTCTTTTAATGACCAACATTCTGCATCATAAAGCATTGCAGGTCTCACCACCATCTTATAGAATTTATCCTTAAGTTTGAAGGAGTCTTTTCTATCACATGACAAGCCCGATGCATTCCTCCACTTTAACCATCCAATTTGAATTCTACTAATAATATCATCATCATTGTGAATAATAGACCCAAGATATCTAAAACATGTATTCTTATTAATGACTTGATCATCCAAAGTCACAATTCCCCACTATATGTATTACTACTAAAATCTCAGTGTTGTAAAGTCTAAATTCTCACTGAAACACTAATGCTTCTATTTTGGATTTCGTTGATATATTGATTTTTTACTTGAATGATGACATACTTGATTTCATTTTCTCTAAAGAAGCAAATATTTGGGTGATGCCTGTTTCACTTATCCTATTTAATCCTGTTTTCAAAAAAGTTGGCAAGGCTGGATGAGGAAGCGCAAGGTAATTTAATTTGAATTGATTATAGCCAAACTTTTTAATTTTCTTAATTTAACAAAACTTTTGTTGATGTTTATTTTTATATAATAAAAAACAATGTTTTAAAAATCGGACTGGACCGACCGGTTCGACCGGTTCAACCATGAACCGGTCACAATATTGGTCCGATTCAGTCTTAAAACCGCCTCTACATTGAACCGGGCTGAACCGGTCAAAATCGCCGGTGAACTGGCCCTGGTTACTTTGTACTTGCCAGTTCAAATTCTACAATTTTAAAATATTTTTTAAATAAATTAATTAACATATATTTAAAACATTAAATAATTATAATACATCTTTTATTATTAACATTTGCCCCCAAACCATCATGAAGCATTTCACATTGCCCCACCACTCCATATGAGCTCTTAACATAAGGAAACTCAAAATGCTATATAAACAATAGCAAGAAAGTCTTTCCAAGTGATGTGGGACTATTCTTTTATGTGAGATTTTAAAATAATTATTTTACTTAATTATGTAAATTTTATGTTTCATAGTTTTTTTTTTAGTTTAATTTTTGTCTCAAATTTTGAATGATAACATTATTATTATGTTAATTTTATTAAATTTTAATTATATTTACTATTTATTACATCATCCGGTTCGACCCCGGTTAGACCGGTTGAGCCGTGAACCTCTCCTTCTTCCGGTTCATTGTCCGGTCCGGTTTTCACAACCTTGCTAAAAAATACTATAAATCCTAAGAAAGTGCATTTGGTGTACGAGAAATTAAACTTTATAGATATGTTTATACTACTGTAGAGATCTATTTTCACTAGAGCTGTGATTACCAGTGTCAATAGGGGATGTATTTTGTGACATGTTAAATCATTCCTTCTTTATCATATACTTCTGCCATCTAACCTACACGTTCTTTTGATGTTTATGTAGGTAAATGATAGTGATCTATCAAAAGAATTGTACAAGAAGTTTAGCGGTGTGAGTTTTAAGATTTTTATATTACTTATTTCAGATTTCTTAAATATATTTATGCTCACTTCATTGGATTGTTTTAGGTTCATAGGAGAAAAGTTCGTGCCTGGCAGATGATTTGCATTTTATCTCAATTTGTTGAGGAGGACATTGTTGGCAAAGTTACATCTAATTTGCATATATGCCTTTATGTAAGTGAGCATTGTTAGTTATTCTCTGTTATCTCTAATATAGAGTATTAAATTGTAAATCCGTACTTTTATATCTTATAAATTTTATCTAGCTGATCCTAATGTTACATTTTAACTGTTTATTCTATCAAATTAATTTCATCCTTTGATATTTTGTAGGCGTAACAGACGTGGTTACAAATAAGTTTACTGAATCTATCATCAATACTCAATTTTGGAACTATACTCACATAGACAAAGCGAATGATAAAACCATAAACATAAGCAACGCAGATAGATCATACTACATGATTTCTATCTCATACAAATCTACTAATTAACACAAATTATTGTACGGAAGTATTTTAGAAATTTTTTTCCCATTTATTTAACTGCATAACTTATAATAAACAACAATTTCATTTATATGTTATTAAATCTTCATCATATACGTACCTTAAAGCGCCTTCACCAAAATTACACATCAAAATATAGAAAAGTTTCTTTAAAAATCAATCCTCACTTAAGATCAACTATGTTTTTACCTCTACCCTAAGTAACAGTCAAAGTAATATTTAGTGAGCTTAGAAGCTCAGCAAAATAAACAATTATTAAACAAAATTTAAATATTCATAGAACTGCACAAATATGGCACTCTAATCACGAAGTGGACATAAGAATTAAAGTAAAACTTAAGCTAGTCTAGTGCATTACATGTAGTCATAATAAAGTGTCCTACCTTTGTCACCCTACCTGTACCAGGTCGAGGACGCTTCTACCTCATATGAGCTCATGTTGTCCACCATACCTGTACAAATATTATAAACATATCAACTTGATCCTCTTTACCCCCATATGGTTTCACCTTTGTCGTGATACATGTACAAGTATCATAAACATATAATTTGCCAACCTATCCACATACATAACATTTCTTAATCTTATTTCCTTTTCTTTGTTGAACATTTGAATACGTATATCATTTATTTTTCACAAGCAACTCAATTATGTGCTTCAATCTGTAACTTAAAAATATAATTTTGCCCTACTTCGAAAATACATTTTTATAAAATGCTAACATAATTCTAATGCTTTCAACTTATGCTTTTTATGCTTTAAAAATAGTGCATAATAATTTTATCCATAACCTTAACATTGCAATGTGAGCATTTATATTATCTTTCTAACTTGTACATTTAAATACATATAAATTTCAATGGATAGGATTAAGCAAAATTTACTTCATAAATTAGAACTTGAGTATCTCACACGATTGATGAATTACCAAATGACTATTTCCTTCGTTTACTCAATTGAGAATATATTTGACTTTAGTGACTTTGAGATCAAGTTGAGTAAACGAAGGAAAGGGATTCATGTTGCCTTGATCTCAAAGTCACTTTTACCATACCTGCACAAACCCAAAGTTCCATTCGGGTTCCGCCATGCATTATTGCAGGGAGTTGATGGAGCATCCGAGAGAAGAGGGGAGGTGGAAGGGCTAGCCGTGAGCTATGGGGAAGGAGGTGGTCACGGGTTGGGGAGGAGATAAGGGTGGGGGGGGTGGAGCTATGGGGAGAGAAACAAATCTGAATTTTATTTCATATTCTAAATATGAGCTGCTATTTTAATTTCAATTTCAGTTTTGAAATTTGAAATTAGAGAAAGAGAGGGAGGGGAATTAAAGAGGCATTTAAGTAGTGATTAAGAGGGGATTGGAGAGAGAGAGGAGCCCAATGAGGGGGCCGGCCATGTAGGAGGTGAGGTGGCGTTGAGGTTTTAAGTAGGTGGGGACCACTAGTCTTAATTTCAGGATTTTAATAAAATCTGAAATTAAAACTTCAGTTTTTATTTGTGAAGAGATTCCTAAATTAAAGACATTCAATTAGATTGATTTCGAATTTCAAATTCGAAATTTAAAATCCAATTAAATTGAGGGCATGATTTAGGGAATTTCACTTTTGTCGTGATACATGTACAAGTATCATAAACATATAATTTTCCAACCTATCCACATACATAACATTTCTTAATCTTATTTCCTTTTCTTTGTTGAACATTTGAATACGCATATCATTTATTTTTCACAAGCAACTCAATTATGTGCTTCAATCTGTAACTTAAAAAGATAATTTTGCCCTACTTCGAAAATACATTTTAATAAAATGCTAACATAATTCTAATGCTTTCAACTTATGCTTTTTATGCTTTAAAAATAGTGCATAATAATTTTATCAATAACCTTAACATTGCAATGTGAGCATTTATATTATCTTTCTAGCTTGTACATTTAAATACATATAAATTTCAATGCATAGGATTAAGCAAAATTTACTTCATAAATTAGAACTTGAGTATATCACACGATTGATGAATTACCAAATGACTATTTCCTTCGTTTACTCAACTGAGAATACGTTTGACTTTAGTGACTTTATCACCCTAATTGAAAATAGAGATTTTTGTTTATGGTCGTATTATTAAAACCGAAGTTAGAGTGACTTTAAAGAAAATGAAGTGTGGAAAAGCTGTTGGACCTGATGATATTCCAATAGAGGTGTGAAAATGTTTAGGAGATAAAATAATTTTGTAGCTTACGAAACTTTTTAATATCATTTTTAAGACTAAGATGTCAAATGAGTGGAGAAAGAGTATGTTGATTTTAATTTTTAAGAAAAAATGTGATGCACGAGAGTGTGTGAATTATAGAGGAATTAAATTAATGTGTAATGCTTTAAAACTATGGGAGAGTGTTATTGAGCTTATGTTACGACTTGATACTAATGTTTTTCAAAATCAATTTGGATTCATGCTGGGTAAATCTACTATGGATGTTATATATTTATTGAAAAGCTCGATGGAGAAGTATAGACAGAATAAGGAGGATCTTCATATGATTTATTGATTTAGAGCATATGATAAAATTCCAAGAGAAGTGCTCCAAAATATTCTAGAAAAGAAATGATTTAATGATGCTTATATTCAAGTCATTAAGGATATGTATGCAGGTGTTGTCACTTATGTTCAAACAGAAGGTGATTTGACCAAGTATTTTCCCATTTTAGTTGGATTAAATCAAGGATCAACTTTAATCCCATATCTTTTTACTTTAGTCACGGTTATTCTTATTAGACATTTGCATGAGGATGTACCTTGGTGTATGCTTTTTTGCTGATGATATTTTTGTTGTTGATAAAATTAGAGAGAGAGAGAGTTGAAGAAAAATTTGAATTCTAGAGGCCAACGTTATAGTCTAAAGGTTTTCTTCTTAGTAGATCTAAAACTAAATACATTGAGTGTATTTTTAGCATTAATAGATCTAATGGGGGGTTGTGATGTTAGGAGTACAAGTCAATAAAAAGAGTACACGCTTTAGATATCTCGCATCTATTGTTCAAAGTGATGGTGAAATAAATGGGGATATTAATAGTGGAATTCAAGCTAAATGGTTGAAGTGGCAGAATGCGTCGGGCCTGTTGTGTGATAGAAAATCACCCGTCAAACTTAAGGGAAAATTATGTAAGATGGTGGTGAGACTTGCAATGCTTTATGACATATAATATTGGTCATTAAAAAAGAAGCATAAAATTAAGTATTGCAAAGATGAGGATGCTCAGATGAATGAGTGGATTTACTCTTAGAGAGAGAATTCAAAACGAGTATATATGTGATAAGGTTGGAGTGGCTCTAGTGGCTGATAAAATTAGACAGATGCGCCTTAGATGGTTTGATCTCATGAAACGTTAGCCTTTCGATGAACTATTTAGGAGAGTAGATGTATTAGATTTGACTTATGTTAAGAGAGGTAGATGTAGACTTAAAAATACTTGGTTATAATATATTATAAATGACCTTTATTTATTAAATTTTTTTTGAGAATTTGACCCCTAACAGGACACAATGGTGAAAAGGGAATCATGTTGCCAACTCCACGTTGTGGGATAAAGGTTTGTTCTTGTTATTGTTGTTGTACAATCATTTGTGACAGCTGTGTGAGGGCAACTCTCCCTGATCTCTCACGCCTCTTCTCCGACTCCTTCGTTGACGTTCGGCTTCGCTCCTCCGACGACTTTCCCTTCCACTCGGATTGGAACTTCCGGCATTTTGATTGCAAGCAACAAGGGAAGCTCGTTGTGATTGCAGCTTTCTCCGTTTCCCATGCCTCTTCAGCCAAATCCCATAAACCGAGAGAGAGAGAGAGAGATGGAACACTCCTCCTACCTCGACGAACTCCCCTTCAGGCCAAGATCTCCTCTCCATGCCAAACACCAAGCTTGCCCGATACTCCTACCTCTATCCGACCCCTTTAGTTATTAGGTATATCGTAATATTATTTTTATTTTATTATTATTTGGTTATTGTTATAAGAATAATTATTAGTATTGTTAAAAATCATGTATATTTTATGTTTGTGTGAGGGAAACAAAAAGAAAAAAGAAAAAAAGAAAGAGACAAAAAATGACTGTCTCGATTTTCGTGCCCTCACCACCTCGCCGGTCGCCAAGGTATAACATAGTAAACTTGAGAAAATCCATCTCAACGCTTGCAATGCGGCGAACAACAATCCATGCGCGCTTTTCTTAGCATGGTGGGAGGAAATTCGTTGCGGTGCTTGTAGCGAGGCGGGTAATACCCTCCAAAAGTCCTATTTTCGACGTTTGCAGTGCGTTGAGGGACCCCCTGTGCACGCCTATGGCAAGGCGGGCAATCCCTGTGCACGCTTTTCTTAGCACTGCGGGGCAATAAAGAACTACTTTTAAAAAAAAAATTGTTTTTAAAGACCCATGCACGCCTTTCTTGGCGTGGTGGATGACAAAAAAAAACTACGACCGCGGTGTCTCACAACTCCAACTATGCACGTCTTTCTTGACGTGGCGGGTTGGCTGCCTCTCGCTGTTTTTCCCTAAATGAGAGAGACGTCGGGAGGCTGTCGAAATCCGGATTGAAGACACAGTGGACTTGAGCAAAATTTGGACTGACATGTTGACAAAATTTGGACAAACTATGGACCTGATTGGGACAATGAATTAAACATAAAATTGAGCCTAAATCAAACATAAATGAATTTAAATGAATTGAATCGAAAACTTGAACTTGTGCACTTGAAATTTGAACTTGAACTGTACGACATCGAGTGAAACTGGAACTTAGATGTGAAATAGTGCATACACACTGGACTTGCAAGTGAACTTGCATATTAAACTCAAGCTGGATTCAAACTTCACATGAACAATAAAGAACCTTAACTTTCAAGAACAACAGAGGACTCGTGGCGAACAAGATCCCGATGCATACAAGCAATGAACAATAATAGTCAATTCACAGTATCTGAACAATCACAAGCAAACCTCAATTATCAAAACCTATGAACGCATGAGACAAAATACATAATGGATAATACCGATGAATGCAATCGACTCTTACAACAGTCCCTACAAACTCTATGCACTGTACTTATAAGAAACAACAGACAATTGCAAAGTGCATGAGTACTACCCACATGCAGCTATCAAAGATCCACCTGAGATTGGTGAAAGGTGGATATGATGTAGGCAACAATGGTTCTTCTACGAACACTTTCAGGAGATCGTAGTGAATGTAACGGGTCTCCGTAAATAAACCCGAGCCACTTGTGGATAACAACAGTGGGTACATCGTAAATGCAACGAACCCCTATGGACACAAGTACAAACAACACCTACAGCAACGGTGATTGAGATGCTGCTAGTACGTCGGGTATGAAGACAACTCGATATACGGAGAAGGCATTTCCTGGCATAATGGGAGAGATGTTTGAACAAATTAAAACTAAACTTCCTAGTGTTCCAAAGTTTCTTCTTGGTCCTATCCTTAGGAAGAAAACAGCTCTGGTATCCACAAACACCAGAAATAACAAGTTTACTACACTGAAGATCCTAAAAAGAGTTCTTTTCAAGGCAGCAGTCACAAATTTCAAGAAAGACCTCTCGGTGAATGAGAAAAGGGGAGTTTACATTAGAACAATGAAATATCTCTTTGCAATCAGGTGACAACGCTACGATTCACCTGTATTCAAAAGCAGGAGATTTGTTAGAGCACTATAATCCACCTACAGAAAACAACAAGTAGTGCACGACAATCTACCTGTACAAAGCAACAAACAATTCAGTCCAGAAGCTGCTACATCACGCCACCGGATCCGCAATATCCATGCAAGCAAATAGAAGGCATTTACAAATGTTTCAAAGTGCCCCCGTACATGCACCGTAGTTTGTATACACATAGGTACACTAAAGGGGTAAATACAATCACGACCTGCATGGGCCCCGACGGCCATGTTATTGGTACATACGTGACGACGTCTAGGGATGCTGCGCGGGTCAATAAGTGAATTCAAGTTCGAACCCGATTCTTCTATGCAGATCAATAGGAGTCGATAGGGTTTGAACCTTCAAAAAAATACACGGTTGTGGCGACAAGTGTATTTGTTTTAATGCATTCATATTAGGCCTGCAAGGCCCATAATCAAGAGAATTCACTAATAAAGGCATAAAGCCTACGAAACCCGATTCTCCTGAGTAGTTAAATAAGAGTAGACAGGGTTTGAACTATCGGATAAATATGTGGTCATGAAGTCGACCGTAATATTTATTTTATACATTCATATTAGGCCTTCAAAGCCTTTAACAAAGAAAAATCATAAACAAAGGCATGAAGCCCGAGAAATCTGATCCTCTATTGACAGCTCAACAGAGTTGACAAGGTTCATTTACAAAATGGAAATATTTTCAAATGAAAATGACTTTAAAGTCACCCCGATGTGGCCGTATTGAAAGTTTATCTCAACTGGAGGGATTCACTAATATTTTTTTTAAATGCCACCCAAATGCTCATGAAAACTCCAAAATTAAATAAAGATTTCTAAAATTCCAGAAATTCCAAAACCCAGAATATTTAAAATTGAAATTAATCATCATTTAACACTTAAAGCAAAATCCTTCCACCCTCCGCAACAGTTTGTCGGGGTGGACAAATTAAAATAACCTCGGCTCATAAAGAACTAATGCATAGTCGAAAATATCACTATGATTCATTCTCAAACAATCTCATGCTAATAAGGACATGGTACATGTCCTCTGACCGGCGATTCTGTCGCCAAATGGCACCGCAGGATAAACGGTTATGACCCGGGGCCCTCTGAACCGAGTGGCTTTGCCACCAAATAGCACCACGAAATACCGATTATGGCCAAAGCCAATACGTTCCTTAATGACATTAAATCCTTGAGATATGAATCAATGGGATATGATCGATAGGGCACAAAGCCCTCTGTTAACTAAGGTGGATTCCAATTTGTCCCTTTAGACAAACATTCAACGCAGGTCTACTAGGTACCCTTTGATGAAGCAACCCATGGCTGCCGACAATGATCCTTATATCAGGTTGGGTCGACTACCTCCTCTAACTAAGTAGACCAGGGACCACGATGGCCCGGGACGACGGAACCATGGGGATCTTGATCGGGTCCATCATCCATTCCCCCACCATCCGGTTTAAGTGCAAAATGGTGCAATTTTAAATATCAATCATTCAAATTCCCAAATCCAAATATATGTTGCTACTATATGCCAGATAACACGTATATTCTACGTATCTGATTGACGACTAGCCTTAATCGAAAGTTCTCTCTCATGATTGGGAGGTTTATTAAAAAAAATAAATTCTCAGGTCGGAAACACAAATATCTCAAGCAACCTTCCTCGGTGATGGTTTTGTTGACCACAAGTGTCAATCATTGGGGAGTATGTCTTCAAAATGTTTTCTAATTATAAAAATAAACGTCAGATGAAATTTTGACATATTAAGCTAAAGGGCAAATACTTATCCCTCCATCGCACAAGCTTGTCGAGTGTGACAAAATTAAGGTACCTAAGCAGGAGTTAATGGCATATCAAACGTATATTTTACTAGGTGGTTTGCAGTATAATGACACCACCAAATTACCATAACAAACAATGCCTTTTGATCGGGTGGTTTTTTGCAAAATGACACCATTAAATTATAGTTATGGCCAATGCCTGAAAGTTCTTCAATGACTCATCTGCTAAGATGATGGCCAGCAGCTTGCCTGAGAGCTACAAGCCTGCCAAACTTTGTTGTTTGCCTCAGCCATGTACTTCTCCTCTAATCCTATTGCAAATACCTAGCCAAATACTCCCTGCTATCTTTCTATTCTAGCCATTGAAAGCTTCCAACCACTTCATTCAGCCTCTGGTTCTTCAAAATCCTTCAAGGGAGGATGAACACAACAAGGACCAAAAGAAGTGGCTATTCACCTTCAATTTCTGAAATTGTCATTGGTTTCTTTTTATTCCCAGCCCCTTTAATGGCCGGACTTAGCAAAAACCTTAAGAAAAGAACTGTTAGACACCTGCTGCCATGGAAGATTGTTGTGGGCCCCTTGGACAGCCGCTCAAAAGGCTTCCCTAGCTTAGGTTCTGCCACCGGAACCTTCTTAGTTGCAGGTAATTTTTGCTACCAACCTTGGACAGCCGCATAGGGAAATCCTTACGGAAAATCAGGATAACTTGAAATAACTCTACCAAAAGCTGAGAGAACATCAAGTGGGATTGATCTTAAAGAGTCCAAGGCCCCCTTGTAACCACAATTGTTAATATCACAAAAATATCCTAATTAAAGAAAATACAAAAACATAATCCCTTAAAAAATTAAGAAAAGGCACAATAACTTTATAAACTATGTTTACATATTAAGCTGGCACAAATCGAGTCTTGTGACTTTCAGAAGTCTTTTAGTTACCTGTAGAAGTCTTTTTAGCAAGACAGAGTATTTGCTTTTGCATGCTTTCCACATCAATGAAGATAGTAGCTACGTTTTCAATCAAACATCTGTGATTCGGTACTCAAATTAATGCTTGCTTTTAACTTGTAGAGGAACAATTTACCAGTTGTACGACAGTACTTGGAGACTTTTGCAATTCAGATCTACTTGAAGTTTCCAATATTGGTAAAGTTTTATTTACCTCTTTGTATTCCACAATTTTACCAGTTTTAATAATTATGCATGCTTAGCGATTTCTTAATTCTATTTTGATAAGATCTTTTTAGAAACCTAGCTGATCATGTTTCTTCCATTAAGTTTTTCATTTTTGTTGTGAATTTTCAAAACAAATGCTTGTGCCGTTTGCTTTTTTTGCTTCTCTGCTCATTCATGCGAGCTTTACTGAAAATTGCTGTAGAGTAAAAACATTTTTGTTGATTTGCCACGGATTCTGTTACAGAAAGAAATTTTCTTCTTATATACATGATATTTCTTATGGGAAATTCTCTTACTTTAAACGTGAATGATGACTTGGTTAAACTTTCCATAAGCCATCAATATTGATCCAAGTAGGGATTTGTACTTATAGTGATATGAGGGCGGGGAACACAGGGAACAAAACCGAATCCTACATTGATTTATATAATTTAGATGCAGATAAAGGTTAAGAATAAGAATGACGCCTTGAAGATTTCATTTAGATTATTCTTGCGTGAAATGAGATGAAAGAGAAAGAAGGGAGCCAAGGGTGATCCAGTAGGCTCTCAAAAATGTTTTTAAGATTAATCTTTGAATGATAAATTTGTAAATAAAAATTGATTGGATTTTTTATTGCAAAATTATAGTTTTAAATTGTGTGTGTGGAGGGTTGAGAGGAAGGATAGGGAAGAGATTTAGGTGTAAATATTGAAGAAAATTATTAAATATTCTCTCCACCTATTTCTCCCTATTTTTAAAGGGTGGTCCTTCTTAAGGAGAGAATTTAGGAGTTCTCTATTTTAAGAAATTGTTACTATCACCTGTTTTCATTTGAATTAGAGTTTTTTTCATCTCTATTATTAAAGATCAAGTTTGTAAATTGAAATCAAATTTTTGAGAGAATGAAAACCGACCTTTGGTCCTTAAAACTTCCTATCCTCCAGAACCCACTGCCCCTCTCTTTCTCCATTTATGCTTTGATTCTACAATATAGAATTTTTTATTATCCCTCTCCTCTCTTTGCTAATAGTAGTTGGCATTCCTCTTGCACTCCGTTTTAGTGGTTTGACCCTTATTGAAATAAATTATTCATTATTTCCACAAAATATGGCAAAGCCCATTATCAAATAATGCATTCCATAAAAAATCTAATTTCCTTGTCCCAAATATTTCCCACTAGTTTCATGAGCCTTGCACCTTTCTTATGGATTATTCTTGGTATCATAGTCGTTCCAACCCATTTAAAAAAAATAAATGGTTAAATTTAGAATTTGGAAGAATATTCTTAGTGATTCTATGTATCCTGAAATCTATAACTATGATGAGATATTATAGACAATTAAAAATCTTTTTAGTGTGAAAGAATAGCTGGCCAAGCGTATGACTAATTAGATGGCCACAATGAAGTAATATATGACCACTTAGTTTTTTTTTTATATATATATGACCACGTAGATGGCTCAGCTGATGGCCAAAAAAATGATTAATTAAATGGCCACAATATTGGGAAAGTCTAGCAGTTTTGTTTCTTCCTTTCTTCCTCTCTCTAAAAAGAGAAAAAATAAAATAGATTGCAAACTCACTCTTATAAGTTCATCGCGTCACCTGTCCAGCATTGCCTCACACGCAAATATAAAATGTTTAACACTTAAACCCCTCGAATTCCATATTACAACGCGACAAGTGGAACATGTGTATTTTTCTTTGCATGACGAGGAAATTTAAATTTAAGTATTAATGCGTGTTTCTCCAATGTGACGGGGAAATACTTCGAATTCGAAACAGGTACACGAATTTCTTTGAACATTTTTCTAAGCATGGTTGGATAATAGACACTGGCCACAACATCTCATGGCACGAACCATACATGTTTTGAGCATGGTGGGAAAGTCTAGCAATTTTGAAAACGATGCCTACATAGGAGTATAATGAACTTTTTATACTTAATACTTCGACTAAAAATGTACATACAATTTTAAATTTATAAAAATGAGATATTAAGCATCTAGAATGATATGTCATGTTAAATGAGTTACAAGGACCAAAACTAAACACAAAATTGAACATATAATTGAACTTATAAGGGACTTGTGATACAAGCTCACTTGCGAGCACCCGACCCCACTCCCTCGCTTCTATTAAGAACTCTCCTAAATGCTCAAAAACTTCAAAACACACTCACTAAATTGAACTTGAATTAAAATTGAACCAAAGATAGCCCCTATATATAGATTGAAGAGCGAGTCCTTGTGGTGCTCACCTATAAAAAAATAGTCTCATATATGCAAAAGATTCTAGCTTATGATATTTACATCCGAATCCGCAACATATATATGAATGGAAAGAGGGCGAGCAATAATAAATCCATAATAGAAAGTCATGCTTGTTTCAAGTAGAACACATTCACTTGAACAGCTACTACATCAGACCCTTATGCATATGAAATACTCATGTTCACGTGAATGGCTTTCAAACGAAATCGTTTAGTCAAACTTGTTGTATATCATGGGTTGCACAAGTATCCTAAGTGATGCACATTTTAAGGAACATGTGCACGCCCGTGAACGAACAATGTCTTGTGAACGAAAATTTTTCAAGTAATATAAAGTGGTGCTCTGTTGTATGTCACGGGTTACACAGCCATATCAACATAATGTATATGACACGTCAAATCTATGAAAGCAATTATGTGACCATGTTCTCTAAATGTTGATATAAATGAACTGAAGATGTGCAGATGCACACTATAAATGCATGGAAAGACTTGCAGATGCACTATGTAAACACACAAAAAGATGTGGAAATCTATTGATGAGTGTGCTAACACACAATATAAGTACGCTGAAGATCATGCAAGTATACGGGCACATTGTGTAAGTGTACAGGAAAAATAAAAGTGTATTGTTCAGGTGTTCCATTAAATGTGCAAGTATACTGTGCAAACTGACTGTAAAATGTATAAATACACATTGCAAATGCATTCAAGAGTGTTTGTGAGATATCAAAGCACATAAATAACTACCCCAGCATGTGCTCTAATAAATACGCTAGCGTTCAAATTTACAAATTACAATGCTGCCCAGACCAAAAATAAAAGTGAAGCTAAACTCCTCTCGGCCTGAATGACATGGCTACATAATTAACTTACCATCATTTTTTTAATGTTTAATTACTTCAAATCAATTTTATCTGCATATGCGCCAACAAATGTATTAAACATTTGAATTTAGCATCCAAAAATGTTACATGAACTAATACAAATTTGCAACCTTGAGAAGCATGCAAGCTCCTTGAAAAGTGTGCAACCACTTTAAAATTTAAAATTTCACTAGCTCATTTTAAAGTTATATTGATGAGGACATCAGATTTCGACACGTATCATCGACGGAGACGCAGATCGACGGCTACGTTCCAGAGCATTTATTTCTGATTTATTTGTATTTTATTTATTCTCATATCTTTATTTTCCTTGTTTACCCCTGTGGGTATTGAGTCGCTTTTGTAGCCCCGAGGGCATCTATGTCTTTTTAGTTGTTATTTCATTTTGGCCTATTTATAGGAGGTCTCATGCATTGTACAAGAATGAATTGTTAATGAAAATTTTTATTCTACTTGTCTGATCTCTTAGCGAGTTCATGAGAGGAGAAACCTGAGGAGGGTGATCGCAATACCCGTCAACCTTTGGTGGATTCCAAGGTTCGCGGTTCTTCCAATTTTTTTTTATCTTCGTTTTCTTGTGCGAATTATAGAGGTATTAAGTTAATATGTCATACTTTAAAACTATGGGAGGGAGTTATGGAGCATAGGTTGAGGCGTGATACTAATGTTTCTCAAAATCAATTTGGATTCATGCCGGGTAGGTCGACTATGGAAGCCATACATTTATTAAGAGGTTTGATGGAGAAATATAGAGAAAATAAGGAGGATCTACATATGATATTTATTTATTTAGAAAAAGCATATGATAAAGTTCCAAGAGAAGTGCTATGGAGAGTTTTTGAAAAGAAAGGAGTTAATAATGCTTATATTCAAATCATTAAAGATATGTATGCAGGAGCTATTACTTGTGTTCAAACGCAAGGTGAATTGACCAAGTATTTCCCTATTTCGGTTGGGTTACATCAAGGATCAGCCTTAAGCCCATATCTTTTTGCTTTAATCATGGATGTTCTCACTAGACATTTACAAGAGAATGTACCTTGGTGTATGCTTTTTGCTGATGATATTCTTGATAAGACTAGAGAGGGAGTTGAAGGTAAACTTGAATTATGGAGGTCAACCTTAGAGTCTAAAGGTTTTCGCTTGAGTAGATCTAAAATGGAATATATGGAGTGTAATTTTAGTAGTAATAGACCTAGTGAGGGGATTGTGACTTTGGGCAATCAAGTCATTATTAAGAGTACACGTTTTAGATATCTTGGATCTATTCTTCAGAGTGATGGTGAAATAGATGGGGATATTCTCAGCAGAATTCAAGTTGGATGGTTAAAGTGGAGGATTGCATCGGGCTTGTTATGTGATAGAAATGTACCCCTCAAACTTAAGAGAAAATTCTATAAGATGGTAGTGAGGCCTGCAATGCTTTATGGTGTCGAATGTTGTCCATTAAAAGAGAAGCATAATACTAAGTTAAGTGTGGCAGAGATGAGGATGCTCAGGTGGATGAGTGGCTTTACCCTTAGAGATAGGATACGAAATGAGCATATACGTGAAAAGGTTGGAGTAGCTCTAGTGGAAGATAAGATTAGAGAGAGTCGCTTTAGATGGTTTGGTCACATAAAACGGCGGCCTTCCGATGACCCGGTTGGGAGAGTAAAGGTATTAGATTTGACTTATGTTAAGAAAGGTAGGGGTAGACCTAAAAAGACTTGGTTAGAAAATATTAGGAATGACCTTTCTTTATTAGATTTAAACGAGAATTTGACTTTTAATAGGACACAATGGAGAAAAAGGATTCATGTAGCCGACCCCATATAGTGGGATAAAGGCTTGATGTTGTTGTTGTTTGTTTTCTTGCATCAAATTCCCCCCTCTCCTCACCTCTCACCCGCCGGCCTCACTCCTCTTCAAAACCCTTCTCTTTTCCCTAACCCAGCCCTCCCTTTGCCGCCGGCCTCCATGGGTTGTCCAAGCCGCCGACTTCCTGCAATCCACCCGCCAGCCAACCACCTGGCCGCCAGCCTCCAGCCAGCCACCCTTCCGTCCACCATCTCCCCTTTGCTCAACCCCCCGGCCCTCCTTCACCCAACCCACATGTTTGAAATTCAAATTTCATAGAGGCATTAATTGCTTTCCTAAAATAAGGCGAAGTAATTAAGAGAGCTATTTAATTGAATTTCAAATTCAAATTTGAAATTCAAAAGCTTTTCAAATACTAGCACTTAAATTAGGAAACCCCTCTTCTAAATTAAATTTGAAATTTAATTCAGATTTTCTTTAAACCTTTGATTAGTGTGTTGGCCCCACTTAATTAGCCATAATTCCCCTCTCCCCTCTCTCTATGGTCGGCCCCTCTCCACGTTCCTTTTCTCTCTCCAATTTCATTAATAGCCTCTCATTAAGCCTCCCTAATTACCTCCCACAATTCCCTTTCATCCAATTTAATTCTTCCCATTAAAATTTAAATTTAAATTCAAATTTATCACGCAAAATCCACTTAATCTGAAAATTAATTTCAGATTTCTATTCTCCCTCCCTAATGCCCACCTGCCCCTTCTCCCCTTCCTCTCACCCGAGCCCCCTCTCCTCCCTCTCTCTTGGTCGGATTCCTCCCAAGTGACGGCTCCCCTCCTCAACGTTTCTACGCACAAGGAGCACCCATGGTCATGCATGGTCGATCCGGAGCGTGACCATGGATTCGTGTTTGACTATCAAGGAGATATCGACGTCATACGATCGTCGTTCTTCAATGTGGGATTCGGATTCAACCACACCGTCGAAGATTACTTAAACCTTATTCTTCCCACCCTCGTGGACGTCATCGACGAGCAACTACCGATAGACGATTGGACAATCACCGGGCACCCAACCGCTTCCCCAACTCCGGTTTCTTTCCCAACGACTAGCCCCCTCGGCATCACTTGTTTATTAGTGGCATCCTTAAGTTTGTGCGCGATCCTCTTCCACTAAGTTGAGCGACATCAAGAGTGCATGTGAGGGACTCCAAGGTGAACGATCTAGATTAAACCATGGATTTTTGTTAAGAGCCATTTGCTTTATTACTTATTTGTTGGATTAATTTTGTTAGTTTCATGTTGCTTCTAAATGTAATCGATTGATGTTGCTTAGTTCTTCCGTGGAAATTTTCTTACGATCTATCTTGGAACGCATTTGTTTTAAATTAGCTACGCAAGTTCACAAGTTATTAATTTCCAACAAGCAATTCTTGCATCGTATCACATCATAAATTCACCAATTGATAATCATGTTTTCAAGCAGACTGCTTTGCCTATAGGGCGAGTTATGATCCTTATATTTTAAATATAATTTTTAAATCTAATCCTTGCAAAGACTAAAGTGGAAGAAACTTGAATTTCATGAAAGATGGCCAAACAATGGATTTTAAATGGTTCACCATAATTCTTACTATCCTAAAAGAACATATGATTGTAAAATCTGCAAAGATATTTGATTTTATATTCACATTAAGCCTCCAATGCTTCTTAAAAAGAAAATTTATTGCAAATATGCAAATTCTCTACTTTCCGCTTAAATGGCAAGTCCCAAAGTTAATATTTAAATTCAATCTTCTGCTAGCTAGTAGAAAATACTAAAAAGTTTCAAATAACAAAATTAAATCATTCAAATATCTGATGAGTGGCAAATATCAACAAAGGGTACTGTATATTTCTAAGTGCCTACAAGTCCCATAGCAAATTAGTAACTGCTATTCGTAAATGTCAGTACTTTAATTCTAATTTTATGTTCCTTTGTTCATTCACTGTTTGGATATTCATTAATTCGAGCCTGTTTCTTAACATCCTGAAGTATAACTGATAAGGTTATTAATCTCTCAGGATATTAATGAATTAGCTGCATGTTACCTTTTTTTATTGTAAAATGTACTTGAAACATAATCCCATCAGCAATTTTTACAGGCTGAAGAGCAGCTGATTCCCATATTCTATGATCATAAAATGCGGCCACAGGTACTAATTTCATTTTGCATTGTTTACAGATTTACTTCCCGGATAATGTGTGTGCACATTTTTTCAGGCTTTGTCTTCATATGTTTTTATAGCAGCCAATGTTATCCTCCATTCTAGGGAATTGCCAGTTCAGATGAAACATTTAGATAATCTATTGCCCCCTGTGATTCCATTTTTAACTTCCCATCATCATAGTTTGCGATGCTTCACTCAGGTAAAGCAGTTCAGTTCTGCAGGTCTGTTTTTTTCCGATTTTGGATTTTGTGATAAAGCTAGTAACTAATAACTGCACTATTGATCCTTTACTGTTGCAGTTGCTTGTTTATCATGTACTGTGCAAATTATGGCCTGCTTTTAGATCTTGTAAATCAGGTGTCAAGCCATTGGAAGAGAGATGTTTTGAGGACTTGAAGTTGTATTTGGCAGGAAATGTAGACTGTATGAGGTATATAATAATTTCTTTAATTAACTTAATATCTCTACGTAAAGGTCACATGAACCTTGTTTGAGTATGGGTGTTCCTAAAGACATGTTAACTTGAACTTTCGGACCATTCAATTTGCTTGCTTGATTATTAGGCCCTTCTCCTAAATAGGCACACCCAACAGTGCTAACAGAAATGTTGATAAAGCAGTTGCATCATACAAACCAAGGTGTTCATTATACTCTTTTTAATGCCTCAATCTCCTATTTTGAGGAGATGTTATTATGTGTGGTGTCCGATAATTTTCCTATTTTGAGACACTTGTTGCATAAGCATTGCAAAGAAGAAGGATTATTTATTCGCATTACCGCCAAAAACTTGCTAATATTGCCTATCAAGAACCCAAAAATAGTTTTTTTTTTTTACCAACAACAGTTTCTGATAAACAGTCAACTGATGGGCTAAGAAATGGTTATAGTGATAAATTAATGATTAATACTAAGGTTTCGTTTGGGATGACTTTCTTATTGTTTTTTAAAACAGCTTTCTAATATAAAAATTTAAATTTTTATACTATAAAGCAGCTTTAAGAAGCAGTAAGAAAGCTATCCCAAACGAATCCTAAGAATGAATCAAAAGAGAAGATTATACAAAAACGCTTGCAAAAAGAATAAAAACAAGAACTCGTAATTACACCCTTTAAGAACAGCGAAGAATTGATTCCCTCGGAGTTTAGAGAGCCTGCAATCCATTGCCAGCTGCCAAAAAACCATGTTGCTGCTGGCCTTTCCTGTCAAGATGCCTAAGATTGGCCTGAGTTCTGGCCAGTAGATTGTGGCGGAGCCCAAGACTACACTAGGACCTGCTTGCATTTCCATCTCTCCATGAACCAAGGAATCCTCTGTCCAAAATCTGAAATTTGAAATCCTATTCAACAATGAATCAATCTACAAGGATGGGGTGGTAATATACGAAAGGAAGGGATTTAATATAACAGAAGTGCTTGGTTTTGTGGATTTTTATTTTATTTTTTTAGTTTTTTTTGTGGTGGTTTCCTAAGATTATTGGGGTTAAATTTGATTAATATACCAAGTGATGGATGCCAATTATGGTGCCATGTCAGAATATGTCTTATAGGTATGTGTGTGTGCTCACACATGCAAACTATACAAAAGATAATTTTTTTTAAAGTTAATGAGATAATGGAATGAGCATGAGGTTTTAAAGATGTAAAAATGACTCAAATATCTAAGACAATAAATTTAAATTTTTGCTCACATCACATAGGCCATGGCGTATGTAATTGTGATGCCCAAACAATGGATTTTAAATGGTTCACCATAATTCTTACTATCCTAAAAGAACATATAATTGTAAAATCTGCAAAGATATTTGATTTTATATTCACATTAAGCCTCCAATGCTTTTTAAAAAGAAAATTTATTACAAATATGCAAATTCTCTACTTGCCGCTTAAATGGCAAGTCCCAAAGTTAATACTTAAATTCGATCTTCTGCTAGCTAGTAGAAAATACTAAAAAGTTTCAAATAACAAAATAAAATCATCAAATATCTGATGAGTGGCAAATATCAACAAAGGGTACTGTATATTTCTAAGTGCCTACAAGTCCCATAGCAAATTAGTAACTGCTATTCGTCAATGTCAGTACTTTAATTCTAATTTTATGTTCCTTTGTTCATTCACTGTTTGGATATTCATTAATTCGTGCCTGTTTCTTAACATCCTGAAGTATAACTGATAAGGTTATTAATCTCTCAGGATATTAATGAATTACCTGCATGTTACCTTTTTTTATTGTAAAATGTAGTTGAAACATAATCCCATCAGCAATTTTTACAGGCTGAAGAGCAGCTGGTTCCCATATTCTATGATCATAAAATGCGGCCACAGGTACTAATTTCATTTTGCATTGTTTACAGATTTACTTCCCGGATAATGTGTGTGCACATTTTTTCAGGCTTTGTCTTCATATGTTTTTATAGCAGCCAATGTTATCCTCCATTCTAGGGAATTGCCAGTTCAGATGAAACATTTAGATAATCTATTGCCCCCTGTGATTCCATTTTTAACTTCCCATCATCATAGTTTGCGTTGCTTCACTCAGGTAAAGCAGTTCAATTCTGCAGGTCTGTTTTTTCCCGATTTTGGATTTTGTGATAAAGTTAGTAACTAATAACTGCACTATTGATCCTTTACTGTTGCAGTTGCTTGTTTATCACGTACTGTGCAAATTATGGCATGCTTTTAGAGCTTGTAAATCAGGTGTCAAGCCATTGGAAGAGAGATGTTTTGAGGACTTGAAGTTGTATTTGGCAGGAAATGTAGACTGTATGAGGTATATAATCATTTCTTTAATTAACTTAATATCTCTACGTAAAGGTCACATGAACCTTGTTTTAGTATGGGTGTTCCTAAAGACATGTTAACTTGAACTCGGACCATTCAATTTGCTTGCTTGATTTTTAGGCCCTTCTCCTAAATAGGCACACCCAACAGTGCTAACAGAAATGTTGATAAAGCAGTTGCATCATACATACCAAGGTGTTCATTATACTCTTTTTAATGCCTCAATCTCCTATTTTGAGGAGAGATTTGGTGTCCGATAATTTTCCTATTTTGAGACACTTGTTGCATAAGCATTGCAAAGAAGAAGGATTATTTATTCGCATTACCGCCAAAAACGTGCTATATTGCCTATCAAGAACCCAAAAATAGTTTCTTTTTTTTTAACCAGCAACAGTTTCTGATATACAGTCAACCGCTGGGCTAAGAAATGGTTATAGTGATAAATTAATGATTAATACTAAGGCTTCGTTTGGAACGGCTTTCTTATTGTTTCTTAAAGCAGCTTTAATATAAAATTTTAAATTTTTATACTAGAAAGCTGCTTTAAGAAGAAGCAGTAAGAAAGCCATCCCAAACAAAACCTAAGAGTGAATCAAAAGAGAAGATTATACAAAAACGCTTGCAAAAAGAATAAAAACAAGAACTCGTAATTACACCCTTTAAGAACAGCGAAGAATTGATTCCCTTGGAGTTTAGAGAGCCTGCGGTCCATTGCCAGCTGCCAAAAAACCATGTTGCTGCTGGCCTTTCCTGTCAAGATGCCTAAGATTGGCCTGAGTTCTGGCCAGTAGATTGTGGCGGAGCCCAAGACTACACTAGGACCTGCTTGCATTGCCATCTCTCCTTGAACCAAGGAATCCTCTGTCCAAAATCTGAAATTTGAAATCCTATTCAACAATGAATCAATCTACAAGAGGATGGGGTGGTAATATACGAGAGGAAGGGACTTTAATATAACAGAAGTGCTTGGTTTTGTGGATTTTTTATTTTATTTTTTTAGTTTTTTTTGTTGTGTTTTCCTAAGATTATTGGGGTTAAATTTGATTAATATACCAAGTGATGGATGCCAATTATGGTGCCATGTCAGAATATGTCTTATAGGTATGTGTGTGTGCTCACACATGCAAACTATACAAAAGATAATTTTTTTTAAAGTTAATGAGATAATGGAATGAGCATGAGGTTTTAAAGATGTAAAAATGACTCAAATATCTAAGACAATAAATTTAAATTTTTGCTCACATCACATAGGCCATGGCGTATGTAATTGTAACTTATATCCGTTGTTCACTGTTCTTTACCACTAGTTTCAAAGGAATTATACCTGAAACTTGCCATTTGTATTTATAGTTAGTTTCTTTTCATTTTGTAGAAATATAGAAAAAGTTTCCGTTCAATATAGATCTGGGGTGAAGCTTGTTAATCTAAATATCTCCCTTCATGTTGTTGGGAAATTTAAGGCTTTTTGGTTTTCTTGTATGTGTTTCAGGCTAAGGGCTTCGATGGAAGGTTTTCTTGAAAACTTTGATCCCGTTGCTTCTGCAACTCCTGCAGGAGTATTTAATTTCCGGAATGAGGTCAAATATATTATATGCTTCTTTGATCCTTACTTTTTCTATCACAAAACATCTTTGATTTTGCTGATTTATATCTGTAGTTTTTGGCAACCTCCAATGTGTACCAATTAGTTTTCCTGATGTAGGGATCTGAGTTTGAATGTGTCGCCGTTTCTTTGATGGACTTAGTGATGGCCTTTTTAAATGTAAGCTCAAACATGGTATATTTTTCACCAACAGAGTTCGTACTTAGTTTAGTGGTTGCAGGATGTGCGGGATGAGCTTAGATATTCCTTTGCTGAGGATGAGAGGACAATCACGAACGAGAGCCTAACAGCAAATGGCACTTCTGATGGAATATTCAGTTTGAATGAGGCATCACATAAGCAAACCCTCGATGACTCTAATTTGGACTTTCAAAAGAAAATTACTCTTCATGGACATGAGAAACTGGCACCATATGATGATCATCGCTTTCTTGCAAGTTCCAGCATGTCCACAATACTTTCAGGTAATGCATTACCAGTTAACGTAGTTATTATGAGAAAATGATCCATCAACTCTTTCTGAAGGATCAAAATAGTACCCAACTCTTTTGAGAGACTAATTTGATCCCTCAACTCTTTAAAATATGTAAAATATGACATTTTTTGTCCTAAATCCGATGTTGGAGTTAATGGTGTTAAATGTAAGAGTATTTTAGTCATGTTTTAATTAAATATTTATTCAATATAATTTTCAAGTAATTATAATTTTTCTAAAAAAATATTAAACATTTCTTTCAAGTAAATGTATATTTAGCTATTTTATCTTTGATCATTCTCGATCCAATCTTTCCTTTAAAATAATCATGATTTAATTTATCATCCCTAGTTTTGATGCACTTTCGTTTTAGCGTTTCATTTTTGCTACACAACTTCGATTACAACGAATTTACTTAGACCCAACATTCAAATCCATACATAATAGCCCTAACTGCAATTTTATAAAACTTTCTTTATTTTAATGTTTACATCAGAATTAGAAATGGAAGATCAGCTTGTGAGCTCAGCGATTCATGCAAGAAAAGAAGTCATGGAAAAGGTTAGAGAAAGGCAACAACAAATAATTCTCGTTGCATCATTGCTTGATCGAATTCCCAATCTTGCTGGGTTAGCAAGGACTTGTGAGGTACCCAAAATAAATAAATAAAATCAATGAGTGGCTGTGTGTCTTTCATTTAGGTTTCGTTTGAGACGGCTTTCTTACTTCTTCTTAAAGCAACTTTCTAATACAAAATTAAAAAAAAATTGTACTAAAAAGCTGCAACTTTCAAATACAAAATTAAAAAATTTTGTATTAAAAAACTGCTTTAAGAAGTAGAAAGAAAACCGTCCAAGCCTTAATCTTTAATCATCGTTGTTTGTTGTTGCATGCAGGTGTTTAGGGCAGCGTGTCTTGCTGTTGCTGATACAAGTATTATGCAGGACAAGCAGTTCCAACTTATAAGGTCAGCCATCTTTTACTCCTTTTTTGTTGAAGTGGATTCTTGTTTCTTTTATATTAGATTCCTCTTAATCAAATCGAGCTTGGAATGCTTTTGTGGATGGGAGCTAATCTGTTTAATTGCTAACGTATAATTTTTACGAGTCTTTTTAGTATGTGAAAGCTATTATTTTGGACATTTTTGGAACTTCTTTCATCAGCAAATCCTTTTGCTACAAATGCAGCACTATTTAAAAACTTGCTAATCTGTAAAACTTGTCCTTTATCTGAAGAAATTACTATGTGAAAGCAGTAATGCATATAAGAGAACTCAATGCTCCATTTACGCTTCGTTTGGGACAACTTTCTTTCTGCTTCTTAACTTTCTAGTATAAAAATTTTAATTTTTATACTAGAAAGCTGCTTTAAGAAGCAGAAAAAAAGCTGTCCCAAAGGAGCCTTAATCTACAGCAGTTGAATACAACATTTCTATCCAAATCCATGCTTGCTAGTTTTTAGTACTTTTTCTGTGTAATCCATGGGGTCACTACAGTGTCACAGCTGAGAAGTGGATACCAATCATAGAGGTTCCAGTTTGTAGCATTAAAGTTTTTCTAGAGAAGAAAAGGAGAGAAGGATTCTCCATTCTGGGCTTGGAGCAAACTGCAAATAGCACAGCGCTGGACCAGTTTGCCTTCCCAAACAAAACGGTGATCCCTTTTCTAGAACGACATGAATAGCTCAGAAGTTTAATTAGTGGTGTAATGATCCCCAACGCTTTGCAGGTTTTAGTGCTGGGACGAGAAAAGGAGGGGATTCCTGTAGATATTATTCATGTTTTAGATGCTTGTGTTGAGATTCCTCAGCTGGGTGTAATCAGATCACTCAATGTTCATGTAAGTGGTGCCATTGCTCTATGGGAATACACTCGCCAGCAAAGGAGTAGGAACCAGTGATCTGTTACTGGATTCTGTTTGCGACGGCGTTCTTATTTTAAAGTAACTTTTTAATATAAAAATTTTAATTTTTGTACTAGAAAATTGTTTTAAGAAGCTGTAAAAAAACCGTTCCAAACGAAGCTTAAGTCAGTATTGATGATGTTTGGACATGCTTTTTCATCTTTTTTTTTCAACAGAAGCTTGATTTTGAAAATTGTTTAGAGGAAATGATGTATTTGTATTTTATTGAATTTCTTTTGCAAACCTTTGGTATTATTTGGGATCACTTATATAAAATTATTTAATATCTTTAAATAATTGTTAAATATGAATGTGTTATTGTTGTGCCAATTGTTCCTGTGTTTATTTTAATTATTTTTTTATTATTGATAAACAAGATAAATGTGTGTTATGTTTAATTATAAATGGTTTTTTTTTTAAGTAATTTATTTATTTATTTTTTCTGATGTTATTTAATTATTTTCATTTCATAGGAATGTCATATGTTAGGGAAAGTAAGTGATTTTATTTGGGTAATTTTGTTTTATTTATAAGTTTAAAATTATTTTTAAATTATTATTTCTTATTCATTTTAATGTCATACGGTATCATACTTTTTTCCTTTAAATTAAATGCAATAGTCTATTCACACACTAAGGGTTAATTATTCTGTGCGAATGGCGAACGTTATTCGAAATCAAATTAGAATGTGTCATGTCTTTCCTTCGCACGGTATTGTGGCTTAGTTTTGCTTGGTATTGTGGCTCGATATCATTGATGTGGTGCATACTTGTTAATATCTGGATGACATTTTGTGTCTGGCATATAAAACACCCAATCAAACTCTTTTTTTTTTTTAATTTTATGATTTAAAAATTGGATAATAGTAATTAGAGAATTATAGCCGAGTGACAATGATTGAAAGATCATAATCGGATGATAGTGATCGGATAAATGTAGTCGAGTGATAGTGATTGGAGGATTGTATTCGAGTGATTGTGGAGAGAGAAAACAAAATAAGTTAAATCTAACTTGGAATGTTTTCATCTATGCAGAGATATTCATGTAGTTGTATTTTTATAGCTTATCAAAATTTATTTTGAAAAATTAATATTTAGAATGTAAAATATTAAATTAAAATTTATCAAGGTAAATCTAATAATTTTGAGTCTCGTATAAATTATCAGATTTTTATAACCCAATTTTTTTTTTCAATTTTCTCTCGTTTAAAATATTTAAGTCGAGCAAGATGATCAAGTAAAGTATCCACGTCAGTTGTACGCAGACAATTATAATTAATCTATTATTCTGGAATATTCTCGAAGGTCAAAATCTAACTTGGAATGTTTTCTTCTATGCTGAGACATTCATGTAGTTGTATTTTTATAGCTTATCAAAATTTATTTTGAAAAATAAATAATTATAATATAAAATATTAAATTAAAATTTATCAAGGTAAATCTAATAATTTTGAGTCTCGTATAAACTATCAGATTTCTATAACACAATTTTTTTTCAATGTTCTGACGTTTAAAATATTTAAGTCGAGCAAGATGATCAAGTAAAGTTGCCACGTCAGTTGTGCGCAGACAATTAGAATTAATCTATTATTCTGGAATATTCTCGAAGGTCAACGTTGGGGCAGGCGGCGCGTGGGCCACATTCTGGGTTAGATCGATGAGTCATCATCGATGTAATAGATGGGACCGTCTTAGGCGCTCTGAACCAAGTGAGGGTAGTAGCCCATGACGTGGGTTTCTCTAGCTCTCTTCCAATAAAGTTGGAAAGTGCTTTCTCAAATATTAAGATTTCATTTGAAATGGTTATTTTATTATTTTTAGTTATTGCGTGTTAGAAAATACGCGGCGGTAGAGTTTGTAAATTCGCGTCTGAGCGTTGTACGTAAGTTTAATACACATAATAAGAAAATTATTTCAAACAAAGAATAATGTTTCATTTGGGATGACTTTTTACTATTTCATAGAGCAATTTTTTAGTATACATTTTTTTTTTTAATAAAAAGCTGCTACATGAAATAGTACAGAAATCATTCCAAACGAAACCTATATAACATACAAAATAAAAATTTTCAAATATTCATTTAATATTGGAAGCATAATGAGCATCGAGAAAAGACCATTGGTGTTTTATTTGATCATATTTTTATATGAGAGTAGATTAATAATTAAGAATATGTGTATATATGTTTCATCAGCAACAATAAGTAATGCTATTATTGGGAGTAACATGCATTAGTGTCGGTGGTGACGAAGAGCATCTGAGTAGGTGGGTGTTTGCATTATTGTTAAAGAGAGAGTCGGTGTTGTTGTTGAAATGTGTCGGCATTAGTAAGTAGAGTTTTTAACTCTCTAAGCGCTATAATGTTATTGTTGAAATGTGTCGGCACTAGCAAGTAGAGTTTTTAACTCTCTAAGAGCTATAATTCTTTCCCTTAGAATAATTATTGGGTCCTCATTTTAAGGATCTTGTCAATGCATATAAATATGCACCCCTTTTATGAGTTTCTAATAAACATTCTTATTATTTCAACTAAATTTTTTAGCACTCTATTTTATGGTTGGGTTTGATCCCTTCTACAACTTGTTGCTTTGTAACTATCTCTATGCTTTCATCTTCTTGAAATTAATAATTCAAGAATGCAAGGTCTTAAGGTTTTTAACAAAGAGTTTAGTGACTTTTTAATTATAATTTCTAGCATTATATACCAGTCATTTTGGACTCGGATCCAATTCTTACTACTTTTAACTTCATTTCCTCTAGATTCTCGTTTCGAATTTAAAGAATAGCTCCTTCAAGAAACTTCTGATTCAAATATTTAGTTCCTTGGGATCTAAAAATTGCATCAATATTTGTACTTAATTAGATTTTTTTGGTAACATATTAGTTCTCTATATTTTCATATAGATTTATGAGTTAGAAAATAATTTGGATATTGAAAATTTTGAAGCATAAAATTTTAACATTTTTGAGGACCTCTAAAGAATGTGAACAAGTAATCATCCTCTATGATAATATATTTATAAACAAAAATTTAATGAATAAATTTTTCTTTTTTTGTATATTTATTATATGACTTGTTGTAATTAACTTATTTATATATAAAGAGAGAATTTATGTACATACCATCTAATTCTTATATATTATATATTTAATATCTAAATATTTATATTTTGTTATATAAAATTATAATATCTAAATTATATTAAAAAAATATTTGTAATATTAATTTATTTAAAGCAGAATATATTTTAATATTATTTTCATATTGAATTCTCATATAAATCCTCAAAAAATTTTACAACATTTTCTAGCTGTACAGCAGAATCCCTCTCGGCGGCGGCAATGCCGAAGGGCAAAAGCACACGGCATGGCTGGCGCTCTTTTTCTCTACTCCGTCCCTTCCAGCTCTATAAATTTCTCTCTCTCCACTATCGTCTCCTTCTTCCGATTACTGGAGACCCCTTCCTGGCCTACCCCATCCGGCTTGGTTTTACTGGCTTAGTTTTATTCCACAAAGATGAACTCTTTGGTGGCGACGAGCCGTAACTTCCGCCAGGCTGCGCGAATCCTTGGACTTGATTCCAAGCTAGAGAAGAGTCTACTGATCCCTTTTCGGGAAATCAAAGTAGGTGCCGTTCGCCTCCGCGATTTCTTATGAGGTTTCCTTTTCTGTGATTCATGAAACTGATGAGTGCTTCTATTCTTGTGGGATTCTGCAGGTGGAGTGTTCAATTCCTAGAGACGATGGTAGTTTAGCGTCTTTTGTAGGTTTTAGAGTTCAGCACGACAATGCCCGTGGCCCCATGAAGGGCGGAATTCGATATCACCCCGAGGTGAAAAAGCTTATTTTTTCACCTTTATTTCATTTTCTTTATTTATTTTATTTTATCCTCTCTACTTATGTCAATGAACTAAATCTCGATCCAATTGCCTGGGATTCTATAAGAAGGGAATGGGCTAGTTAAGTAAGCTTTTTGAACTCCAGGAAGGATAGTAGTTCCAGTGTATCGTTGTCACTGTTTACTGAACGGCGAAATAAACGAACATAAATGCTACGAAGTTTGTTTTGTATGTTTCAGATGCTTCGAACGCAGAGAACTGTTTGGTTTTGTGGCGTAATAATCTCTGTGGAAATAGAGGGAAATCCTAAAAGTATATCCTTAAGGTGGAGCCAAAAGAGCTCCTTGGTTGGAATAAAAGCGCTAGATGTTGAAAGAGGACATATACATCAAACTACAATTAGCTATTTTAGGCAAATAACAAGTTGCTGATCTCATTAAATTGAGGGCAATTTGTTGTGTTGTGCAAAAGAAAGTTTGGGATTATTTCCCACACCTCTTTTTTGTCACTATCATTCTTTTGAGAACCATATTGTTTTGGATGTGATGTAGGTGTTCATTGTTGTTTTGACTGTTAGATAAATATTCCAGATTTTATTAGTTTTGTTTCTTTAGCATTTTCTTTAGTTTGTTAGCTTGTGTGTGGCTTATCCTATAGCCTTGTTTTTCTTTAAATAAGCCCTTTGGGTTGTATTGGTTTGATGCCATATTAAGAAACATTTCTCTGTTCTGCTTTCGTTTTTCTCGGTTTTTCCATTTCTTCAAGAAGCCGTGACAAGCTTCTTCTTCAAGCTCTGGTTTCAAACGCCTCATTTCCAACATTTTGGTATCAGAGCCACCTTCCGACTCTTGTCTCCGATCAGAGTCTTGCTCAACTACATTTCTTCTTCTTCTTCATCCGCATTCTTTCTACTCTCCTCACCGGAGAGCTGCCTGGAAGAATCTTCTCACCGGAGAACCGCATGGAAGAAGAAGTTCTTGTAGCCAAGAAGATCCGATCTAGATGAAGCCAGAATCAATGGAAGTGCTACAGTTCGTGTAGAGACAGGATCGCTGGAGGCGTGAGGTTTGGCAGAGCAGGGCACGCGCAAGAAGGTCGTGCTGGGCTGTGTGGGCCGAAGGAGTTCACGGGACAGCAGGCGCACGGGGGGTTGCACACGGAGGCCAGCCGGAGACGGGCTGGCGGCAAACGTGGTGCCAGAAGGCGGCGTGAGGCGTGCAAGGGCGCTGGAACAACGCTTGGAGCGGCTGGGCGCGAAGAACGCACGGGAGGAGGCTGCTCGGGAGTTCGTCGTAGGTGATTCGTGGCTGAGTTAACGGTTTTTTGAACCGTTAAGCCGCACGCAAGAAGCACGCCGAAGGGATCCGTAAGTGGTGAGGAGCAAATCGCACAGATGATTTCAAGATCTTGATTTCTTTGTCATGTCGATGCAAAGGCTCGAGATCGACAAGTTCAAGGGGGAGAACTATTTCAGCCTTTGGAGGATCAAGATGAAGGCTCTATTGGTTCATCAAGGCCTTTCCAATGCAATCTTTGAAGAGAATTTCGCTGCAATCACCAATAGGGCCAAGGCGAGAGAAATTCAATTGAAAGCTCACAGTATTATCCTTCTCTCTATCGGTGACGAAGTTTTAAGAGAGGTTGCTGAAGAAGATACGGCATTAAAGGTATGGAGGAAGCTTGAATCAATTTATATGAAAAAATCTCTTAAAAATCGACTGTTGTTGAAGAAACAACTGTATACGCTCCAAATGGAAGAAAACCAAGAACTCAGAAAGCATTTGGATGATTTCAATAAATTGATTCTTGACCTCAGAAATGTGGATGTGAAAATAGACGAAGAAGATCAAGGGATCATACTCCTCGGCTCTCTACCGAAGACGTATGAAAACATAGTTGACACTATGTTGTATGGGAAGCAAACTTTGACACTAACGGAGGTTAAGTCCGTCTTAATGTCAAAAGATGTTCAAAGGAAAACCGATCATAAAGAAGATAAGAATGGTAACATTCTGATCGCTAGAGGAATATCAGAATCGTGTAGAATCAATTCCAACAGGAAGTGCTTTCATTGTAACAAAGAAGGGCACAGTAAGAGATATTGTCCAAATTTGTCACAAGGGGTTGAACCAGAAGTCAGCTTGGCAATAGCAGCAGATTTGGGAGACGGTTGGACTGATTCTGATGTTTTGTAAAATATGGACTAAGGGGGTGATTGTTAGATAAATATTCCAAATTTTATTAGTTTTGTTTCTTTAGCATTTTCTTTAGTTTGTTAGCTTGTGTGTGGCTTGTCCTATAGCCTTGTTTTTCTTTAAATAAGCCTTTTGGGTTGTATTAGTCTGATGTCATATTAAGAAACATTTCTCTGTTCTGCTTTCGTTTTTCCCGGTTTTTCCATTTCTTCAAGAAGCCGTGACAAGCTTCTTCTTCAAGCTCTGGTTTCAAACGCCTCATTTCCAACATTGACTATAGTTGTTTTCTCTATTATTTTTTATTATAGTTTTAAATGATTTATTTTTTATTTAATCTTCTGAGTTGATGTAAAACTTTATTCTTAAAAGGTTGATCTTGATGAGGTGAATGCTCTCGCTCAATTGATGACATGGAAAACAGCTGTGGTAGATATTCCATATGGTGGAGCAAAGGGTGGAATTGGTTGCTCCCCTCGTGATTTGACTAAGAGTGAATTGGAACGGTTGACCCGAGTTTTTACTCAAAAAATTCATGACCTTATTGGAACTCACACGGATGTTCCAGCCCCTGACATGGGAACTAATGCACAGGTCTCCCATATTCACTACGCGTTTGGGACTAACAAAGAAATTGTAATGTCATTTGGTAATATACTTTGTTTTCTTATTTCTAAACTATCTTTTACTGGTGGAATGGTACAACAGACTATGGCATGGATATTGGATGAGTACTCAAAGTTTCATGGTCACTCACCGGCTGTTGTTACAGGAAAGCCAATTGTAAGGATTCATATGTGATGTTAACTCTAAGTTTGTAATATTTCATTATTATTAAATCCGCCGTAATCTAGTTTTCCTTATTTTCAGGATCTTGGCGGTTCATTAGGCAGGGAAGCTGCTACTGGACGTGGTGTTGTTTTTGCAACTGATGCTTTATTGGGTGACTATGGAAAATCAATTCAAGGATTGACATTTGCAATACAGGTGAAAAGATTTTCTTTTTTTTTCTCCTTTTTCTGCTTTCCTATTTCTTAGATGTTCCTATATAAGTTTACCTCGATTCCTAGCGTTCATCTTTTTGGACAAAGATTATTATGTCATAGCTTAGAACACCTAGTAATTCCTGGTAGAAATGATTGATTTTGTTAAAGAAGATTTGTTGCAAGTTATATATGCCGAATTGCATCTGGAATCTTCTTGGCCGATTAGCAAGTAAGCTTTTTACACTTATTGTGGGATTGTTTCTCCATTTTTCTGGTGGTAACGCATTTGCGTTGCTGCAATGAGGGCTTGTGAAAGCAGAGCATGTACCCCTCTAAAATTTGAATACGCCTATATAACTCATTCTTTTATATTTCATAAAATGAAACCCAAACATCTTGTGATCCCCTAAAAAAGTTATTAATTTATGTGTTCCCAATAAAAAATCGTTGGCTTCACGACTGGACATGTGATGCGGACATTCGATCATGAAGATTTTCACCTTCTCGTTCTACATCAACATGCCTTATGCCCCAAACAACTCACATTGAGGCGGTGGCTTCCTGCTTGCCTGAGCATGGGGCACAGAAACACTTGGGGTCATTTGTAATGCCCCCAAAAAAAGGATTCATATGCTAGCGTTAAAACCTTTGATTGTGTCTACCATCTACAAATATTGATCTCTTCTGAAATAATACGTCATCACATTTTTCTCTTCTCTTGTGCCAGATTCTTTAACACTAGAAACTCATCTTTTCTAGAATCTTTAGGGGTTTGGTAATGTTGGTTCTTGGGCTGCAAAACTCATCCATGAGAGCGGTGGCAAGATAGTTGCTATTGGGGATGTGTCTGGTACAATAAGAAATCCTAATGGCTTGGACATCCACCAGTTACTAAAGCACAAAGCTGAGGGTGGTGTTTTAAAGGATTTCACAGGTGGAGATGCCATGGATCCTGATGAGTTACTTGTGCATGAATGTGATGTTCTCATTCCTTGTGCGTTGGGTGGAGTCCTTAACAGGTTCAAAACGCAACCTTCTTTTTTCTTCTGCTTGTAGTAGTCGTTCTTATAGATATATGTTTTAAACCTTCGTTCCTTAATTCTCACTACAAAAATATTTGCCTTTATGTTGTCAATCTTGATACGAATGCAATAAAAATAGTATTACATTTGATCTAATTCATCTATTGATTCACATGTTGAAAGAGAAAATGCTGCCTGTTAAGGCTAAATATATTATTGAAGCTGCAAATCACCCTACTGATCCTGAGGCAGATGAGGTAAAACGTACTTGAAAATTATACTCACTTCATTCAAGAAATTTATCCAATCCCTCAAGTTCTTAAACTTTCTTGTTCAACCTGTTTTAATAGATTCTTTCAAAAAAGGGTGTCGTTGTACTGCCTGATATATATGCCAATGCTGGTGGTGTGACTGTGAGCTACTTTGAGTGGGTTCAGGTACTAAAAAAAATGAAAATCTACATTGTATTTATGAATTTTGTGATACATAAAATTAAAACACAAATGATGTTGCTCATTTTTTAATTAATGTAGAATATTCAAGGATTCATGTGGCATGAAGAGAAGGTGAACTCGGAGCTTCAAAGATATATGAAAACTGCTTTCAGGAACATCAAGGATATGTGTATGTCGCATGGCTGCAATCTTAGGATGGGCGCTTTCACATTGGGAGTGAGTAGAGTTGCTCGAGCCACACTCTTAAGGGGATGGGAAGCTTAAGAAGCTTGAAAGCTATACATTCTTCGTAGCATTCTACATGAACTCTTCAAAAAGGTCATTCATTTTTATAATTTAAAAGAATTCAAGTGACATTCTTCATTGTTGTATTGGAATATTATAGAATAATTTGGTCTATTTGCAGTCCTGTTGTTTAAGTTTAAATGTTGTTTGGCTGCAGGATTTGGCATAAATCCTTCCAAACAGTGGAAATGACAACTTTAAATCCTATAGAATTTTAATTCCCATTTCTCCTCCAATTGAAATCCCGTATTTATTAAGGTTTCGTTTGGGGTGGCGTTCTTGAGTAGCTTTTTAGTACAAAATTTAATTTTTTTCTACTAGAACGCTGCTTTAAGAAGAAGCAGTAAAAAAACCGTCCCAAACAAAGCCTAAATCTAGGAGTTCGGCAGATTTATGGTATTTTGACAAAGAATTGTGTGAATGGGAAAAAAAATTAAGGTTTACATTCTTGTCCAAAGCTCCCACTCAATTGCTTCTCTTACTTGCAGAGGGATTAGAAAAGCGAGGTGGCAAAGAACTGAAAGAAGCAGGCATGCTTCATTCCAGTTATAAAAGAAAATTTGGCCGTTATTTTTTATGGAATTTGAAGGCTTGTAGCTTAAAACTTCTGAGAAAGAGCAGGATAATTCTTGGAGGAGATGCCGATTAGACACAACAATTTGGTAAGAATTGGTTGAGAAAATAGATAGTAAATACACTCTCCTTAGAGCACCAGCCATGATGGTTCTCCTAAAGCATAAGAGTGCAAAGCTAGAGTTCCATACTGACACCAAAAGATTAGAGGTGTTGTTGTATACTGTATAGAGATTTAGGCTTCGCTTTTGACGGCTTTTTTTCTGCTTCTTAAAGCAGTTTTTAAGTACAAAATCTTTAATTTGTATATTAAAAATCTGCTTTACGAAGCAGTAAGAAAGCCGTCCCAAATGAATCCTTAATGCTGCGTTTTTGCATGCAATAGTTGGCGGACAGGACAAGCAGTAGCAAGAAAGCCATAAACCAACCATTTATTTGGATAGGGAAAGACAGGCCTGCCCATGAAATTAGCTCATATGCATAAATTCACTTGTACGCATATAAATCAAGAAACTGCATCACTATTATTATCAAATGTGAATTACATGAATATAGTTGTGAAATATAGCTCATATGCATGTCCTTAAAAATTATAATTATTCTTTAAACACCAATTTTTTTCTCATTCGTGAAATAATGAATACAAAACTATTTTCTTAGGAACAAATGTGTCCAAATTTTTCTTTTTTTCAAAAGGTACAAATCAAAATGATAAAATGTTTCTCTTATATCTTATATTTAAAAATTATTTTTCGATGTTACTCATCAAGCTTAAGACAAAGATAATTTATCACAGTCAAATATATATCCAGGAGAAAATTGAGATAAGATATCCATAAGGTCTCCATAACCTTTACAATAACACTCAAAAAGCTCTCCAACAAGAGCTTCAAACACTTAAACTGGAGGAGAAGAAGGATATGTTTTTAGAGACAATAAAGTAAAACCTCACAGGAATTTCTTCAAGAAATCTCTCAAGAAAAATCCTTTTTAAGTCTCTCATTTTGTAACTCTCTCAAGCCTCCCAAAATCTTCTTGCAATTTTTGTGAAAAGTTATGGTTAAAGCTACATAGGGTTTCTTAGAGATCAATATATATAAGGTGACTCTCATAGAAACTCAACAAAGATGGGTCCGTAGACCTAATCGTACGGTTCAATCAAGAGATTAATGTATTGTACTATTATCATAATGTAACACATGCAAATCAATGCACCATTCCACCAGTTCTAGCCCGATCGGATTCAAGGTAATCCACTGAATTTTTGCATGTAAACCCTTCTAAATGTGTCTGAGAATGTTTGGTATTCATGTGAAAGTTTACATGTGTTATGGAGTAGGTTATGGGGGTTTATATGCATGTTTTGAAAATTTGAATAAAAAAAAATTTTTTGGGCACGTAGTGCTTGGTTTGGCGGCACATTAGCTTTGTGCTTCTAGAATTTAACCATTTAAATTTAATGCTATAGCATTGACTATTCAATATGAACCTATTAAGATGAATGTGGTAGCAAATGCTCTAAGCAGGAAGTCTTAGAGGATATCGAGCATGTTACTTATGATGAATATATAATTCTTGATATGAAAATGCTACAGTTAGAAGTAATTTCTTCTCTTTATCAAGATTATGATATTCTGGCTCAGATAATTATTCAACTATCTCTATAAAAACGGATTCAAGAGATTCAGAAGCCATATCTAGAGCATCTAAAACTGATTGATCAAATCAAGTCTTATAAGAAATCTGAAATGCGATAATCTAATTATATAGTTTTTATAAAAGAATAGAATATGTATTTTGAGTTCTAAAAAAATGTAAAATGTTATTATGCATGAAGCTCGTTATTCATGCTACACTATTCATTCGGGAAGTAGCAAAATGTATTGTGATATGAAATGTATGTTTTAGCGGCTTGGATTAAAGATGAATGTAACATATTTTATTTTAAAATGCAAAGCTTGTCAATTAGTGAAAGCAAAATATCAATGACTGAAAAGTTTTTTTTTTTTGGTAATCGTTTCCTATTCTAGTGTGAGAATTGGAAGAAATAACAATGGATTTCGCTATAGGATTTCCCAAGTCGAGATAGGGACATGATGCCATCAGGGTTGAGGTAGATCGTCTGATGAAGTCCACTTATTTCACTTTGATCTATTAGTCTAATTGGTGGACAAATTGACATAAGTCTACACATGAAATTATCTAATTTCATTTTGATGGAAATGCTACAGTCAGAAGTGATTGTTTCTCTTGATCGAGATTATGATATTCTAGCTTAGATGATTATTCAACTATCTATATAAGAAATGATTCAAGAGGTCCAGAAACCAGATCTAGAGCATCTAAAATTGATTGATCAAATCAAGTCATATAAGAAATCTAAAATTCGATCATCTGAGTATATAGTTATTTTATAAAAGAATATAAAATGGGTTTTGAGTTCTAAAAAAAATCTAACATGTTATTCTGCATGAAGCTCATTATTCATGCTACACTATTCATTCGAGAAGCAGCAAAATGTACTGTGATCTAAAAGGTATATTCTAGTGGTCTGGATTAAAAAAGGATGTGACATATTTTATTTCAAAATGCAAAGCTTGTCAATTAGTGAAAGCAAAATATCAAAGACCAAAAAGGTTTTTTTGTAATTATTTCCCATTCTAGTGTGAGAATTGGAAGAAATAACGATGGATTTCGCTATGGGATTTCCCAAGTCAAGATAGGGGCATGATGCCATCAGGGTTGAGGTAGATCGTCTGATGAAGTCTACTCATTTCATTTTGATCTATTAGTCTGATTTGGTGGACAGATTGACATAAGTATACACACATGAAATTATCTAATTGCACGAGATATCAAAGCTAGTCATTTATGGTAGAGATGATAGGTTCATATCCATATTTTAGAGGGGTATTACATAAAGTCTGATCATTAAACTACATTTTAGTATGATTTTTCATTCATAAACTAACAAACAGTCTAAGACATGATTATTAATATATTGAAAGATATTCTAAAATTTTGTGTTCTGGACTTTAGTTGTGATTAGGCGGATCATATCCTTTTGATCGAATTTATCTGCAATAACTGATTTCAATCAAGCATAGCTATGACCCCTTATGAAGCACTATTTTATAAGAAGTACAAAACCCCTCCGTCTTAGATAGAAGTGGGTGAAAGGAATTTGATAAGACCATATTTGGTGAATGACATTACTAAAAATATATGTCTTATTAGGGATAGATTAAAAGATGTGCAGGAAAAACATAAACAATATTATGATGGTAAGCACTAGGCTTTAAATTTTCACATTGGAGATTTCGTGCTCATGAAAGTCAGGCCAATGATAAGCATTAGTAGGTCTGGTAAAGAAAGTAAGTTGAGTTCAAGATATGTTGGACTATTTAAAGTAATTGAGATGATTAAAAATCTGCCTATAAATTGCAGATGTCATATTATATGTCTAACATTCTCAATATATTTGATGTGTAGCTTTTGAGAAAAAAAGTATCTACTTAAGAAAATTAAATATTTATATAAGAAGTTATGATACGTCCAAATCTGAGTTGCATGAAAGAATCATAAAAATTTTTGGTATATAATGTGAAAAAATTAAGAAATAAATATATTCTAATGATTACGGTACAATGGAAGAACATAACAAAAAAAAGAAGTTGCAGGAAAAAAATATGAGATGTGTAATTTACATTCTGATATGTTTCAATGAAGAATTATAACACCTATAGATCAGTGCAGTGTTCCTCCTATTTTGAATTGATCTGATTCAAGGTAATCCGCTAATTTTTTTGCATTTGAATCTTCATGTATGTGTCTAAGAATGTTTGATATGCATGTGAATGTCTACACGTGTTCTTGAGTGGATCCTAAGGGCATGTGTGCATTTTTTTTTAAATTTAGAAATTTTTTCTTAGGGCGTCGCAGCGCTGGGTTAGGCTGCCGTGCGACGCTTATGTTGGGCACCGCGATGCTTGGCCAAATTTTTATGTTAAAAATATAATTTTCTGCTGTTTGATTCATTTCCATCCAATTAAGGTAGCTAGTTAGAGAGAGACTAGAGAGAGAAGCTATTTTCGACAATTTTGATCCATTTTTAATTGATGGCCTGGTTCTGAAAGTTGTCCAACTCGAGTTAAGTTGTGTTTTTCTTTATCTACATTATGTTCTAGTGTTGGCATTGAGAATAAGGGTTTATTTTCCAATATTCTAGCACGTGTTATAAGGGACTAAACTCTCTGAATTCTATTCAAATGAGAGGTACAAGAGTCTAAGAGAAATCTATTATATTATACTATGATATATAAAGTACATGTTTATTTACTTTCAGTGCAAAGTCGATTTTAATTAATATATCTATAAGTAATATCAGGCTCAGTTTATTGCATTTATTATAAAGCTGCTTTTAAATTCAATTAAATGAATAATAAATGAATTATTTGGAAGCTTAGATCATTGAGTGTTTCATGTGAACTATGTTGGCTCACACTTTATATGTATTTTGTTTCTAAGGTCTGGAAAAGGAAAAGAACCAGTTGAGTAACTGATTCATAATTTGATTTGTTTGAGTCTATATAAATATATATATATATATATAGTTTGAGTCTATATATATATATTGTGTACAACCATAGCTAGTTCTGTAAAT